TCCATGCTTGCCACCACAGCAGCGATAGATGGTTTGCGCGAATCTCCGGCTGGCGGGTGAGTTATATCGCAACCAAAGAAGATGACTGCAAAACCATGGTATAAAATGAACCATCCTCTTCTGATATAGAAAGCATACCTGGTTCATTGAAGATCCTTGGACGTACTGCCGGCAGCAAGATGCTATTTACACCTCCCAGTTTCACATTCATTTTCAAACAGAGATTCGACAATGTTTGTGGTGTAGTTTTGATGACATTCTTCGCTTGCACGCATTGGGTAGCAATTCCTAGCACAGTATCACCGACACGTTTCACTTCGGCTGAACTTTATCAATAGAGAAACTGCTTGATATTTAGTGATATGGGTTTACCATAAACGGGCGTCTTTCCAGGTAGAATTACTACAACCAGCTGTATACCGGAAAATGTTTGTTTGAGGTATTTGAACATCGGTTCCACCTGATCCACTCCCATCGCGTATCTGGAAAAAAAGGTGTGCCAAAATGCAAAGCTAATAGCCGCAGTTCGAAGGCGGGTAGCTGAGATGCTTAAACCATACAAACTTTAAGTTTCAACGAAAAATAGCAGAGAAAGCGGAAAAGCAAAACTTACTTGCAGAAACATGGTTGGCCAACAATGGGCATACCGGCGTCATTCGATATACGTTGCAATTGAGCAGTAAAATTACGCAGATCATTCTCTTTCACATGTTGCTGCTGTGCAAAACATGCTATAGCCCAGACCTATAACAAACGCAAGACTTTTCACATATCCACAATCCAATCGCAAGCTGAGACTTAACTCACCTTCACATCAATACCAGTATGAAACTGTTTTCCACGCATATCCCAGACACCTTGATTTGGCAATGCTGTTGCTTTGTTCCTGCCACCATACTGCAGCTTTGGAGCTGATAGAACCCGCCCTTTCACTTCAGTCATAGCCGAGTTGATAGCGATGCCAAATTCATGAGCAAATGGATCTGCCGAAAATTCGGCCTTTCTGACCAAACTGGCAATTTCACGTTCACGTTCTGGCGCAGACCGTGCCGTTGCCTGAGAAAGAAAAAAAATAAGTAGGTCAGAAGAAAATGATTCTGAGGATACCTTAATCATGGTCGATGTCTGTGTGTCCGTTAGTTTTTTGATGCAACGCTGTCCTGGTACAACATGGCATACCTCAGGAGGCAAATAAGTGTGCTTTTGTTCTTGGCCGACCTGAAAATATCCGATCAGTTTTCATTTCCTGAAAAAGAGAGCAGACAGACATACCTGCAGACATGGCAGATGTGGATATTTGAGCTGGATGCGATATTTGTCGTAAAAGTACTTGGCAACAGTACATTC